TGGAATGCCAGTAAATCGTACTGAGAGAAAAATATGACTTCTAGTCAGTCAGACTATGGACGCCGATGGCACACCCACACTGCAGAACGTGGCACAGCCGTGGACAGGGACAATGTTCTCAATAATTGGACAAAATCATGTCACAGAAGTGGAGCGTGAATTGGAATATGTTATGAAAAATAACCTCATTTCTCTCTACCATACTTGTTTGAACCACTATGGACAACTTTGCCATGCGACTTGACAGGAGTTCAACTCTTAGGGGAGTTTGGACCTAGCAAGTAAATGGTATGGAGAATGAGAGAGAGGAGGGAGAGAGGGGGAATATTTTACTCAAATGTAAAGTTGGAATCATTAATACCATACGGAGGTGTCAAAGTTTTTATCTTATGAATGCTGGAAACACCTCAGTGTAAATGAGGTGACAAGGGAACAGACTTCTCTCCAGATTGCAGTGGCCCTGTAATTTGCAAAAGGGTATTAAAGTCATTTAATGACTTCAAGTACAGTGGACAATACATGTAAAATTGGAGAATATCTCCCTGAGATGAAGTGCAAATGAATGGAAAACCTTCCAGAATACTGGTATTTCTCTAAAAATCACAAAACAGGACACCAAGTATTTTTTTCAACATTTCAGTTGTAGTTTAAAAAGAACACAGAGAAAATTCTATTATTCCATTTTTTTTCCTGAACATTAGATTTTGCTTTTTTTATATGATGCAGATAAAAGCTATTTGGCAAATGTAGGTGAAAAAGCACGCAGAACACCCAACCTATTAATGCTCAGAATTATATATGTATTCCCTAAAAATGTAAAGCATTTTTGCTTATTTATTATGTAAAACAAAACTGTTAAAATGTTAATAAAATCCTGTAGCCAAAGGAAAAGTGAGTTGGATTTCTTCTTGAACTACAAAACACAGGCTTTCACAAACAAAAAATATTTGAAAATTTATTTCAATTGTAATATGTCCTACATTTTACAGTTCATGTACCATAAAATAACAGGATTTTCTAATTTATTGTATTTTAGCCACGTTGCATTGTAAAGGAAGACATTTGGAGACCTGAAAATAATACAGAATCACTAATGAAAGGCACCAGTGCAAGACACTCAGACACGACAGCAGTTTACAGTTCTTCCCTGCAGTTCGTTTCTCTCAGCCACGCATTACGTGGCCGCCGCCGGTGGCACGCCCCATTTTCTGACCTCTGTTCTTTCCTCAGCCCAGACTTAATTTCTTTGGCGTCTGATCAGCGCGGTGCGTCGCTGCAGTAAGTTCTGCACGCGAATGCTTTTATCAAACCATGCACCCCCAGGAATCGGCTCTCTGCAGCACAAACCTTTGTCACGACAGATATTAAGCTGTACTTCAATATTTTTGGTTTTTATATAGCTACTGTGTATTCCAACGTGGTTGCAGAGAGTAATTTTTTTAGACTGCTGAGGTCGTGTAGCTGAATCGGAAAAAGCAAAGAAATAACAGAAATCATTGTAGAGTGAAGCAGCAGCACAAAGAAACACTTTAATATTATTTCCAGGTAATAGCCCTTGAAGTAGATTATATTTGTTGGATATATGTAAAGAAAAATGCTCTGAAGTCTTAGAAAACCTTTTACGAGAAGTGAGATGCACAGCTTGAACTCTTAAATGTTACATACATAATTACTTTTTCAAACCTCTGGAACAGCCTTGGTGCTGACCGCACACAACCCGCTTTACTCCTGCTGCACAGGACAGGTGCCCACACACCCGGCTTGCTCTCCACAAGTTTTCCTATCAATGAACAGTCTCTACAAATATTTTCACAATGTGTAATGAGAAATGTTATAACAGAGTCCAGGAGGAAAAAAAATGAGGTCACAGAAATATGGACACTCTAATAAATGTTTTTTGAAAGCACTTCATCAAGAAAATAGTTTAAGATATGACATCAGCCTCACAGTGGAAGAGGTGTTTTACCAATCTAGACATTTGAATGAAATTAAACATTTCCAGTGCATTACTTCTGGACCTGGAGTTGTCTAGTTCTCTCCATAGCTGTGTCCAGAGACAGCCTACACCACATATGCCCATCACACATGACAACAATAATGGTGACTTTAATACAAAAGTGTGGCTCACTGGGTGTGCCGAGTTCGGGAATTTTCTTTGTGATGTCCTTTGGTTCTTCTGAAGGAAAGGTCAGGTTTGTACCAAACGCTTCATCCAACTCAAGGCTGCTTCCCCAAAACAACAGGTAGTTTTATACACACAGCATAGGCCACTAAAAAGTAGAGGTGATGGGCTTCGCCCCTGCAGCACCCACCTCTGCTCTGACAAATCCATGCTTGGTTAGTTCTCATTTGCAGAAAGTTAGTTCAATGCTAAGATTCATTCCAACGCAAAAATCTTCAGGGAAAAAAAAAAAAATCTTTCAGCTCAAAGTGAAACCAGAACAAGCTTTTCACTAAGGTGCCTATGAAGAAATCCAAAAGGAACAATCGCAACCGGGAAATATTGCAGCATTTGACTATTAAAAAACCCATCTGCCTGCTGCTCAGATGCTGGGGCAGCACAGCTGAGTGAAGGTTTGCAGGTCCATTCTGCCCTTCTTCACACAGGGAGATGCTTTATCATTTCCCCCATCATTCTTTTACAGCATTTGTCCCTAGTGACAAGAGAGCGTGTTTTACAACAGCAATTCAAGTCAAAACCTGATGCATGATGTGGTTGCTAAAAGAAATATCCACAGGCACCCATCAGTCTACAAGGAACATGAACGAAATCAAAGGTGCTTCCTATAGCTCACCCTACAGTACCAAACCAGATTGTTTTAGCTATGAACATCAGGCTGAGGTACAGAACTAGAGTTTTGTAAAACCCTGTGGTTGGAAAGACAGTACCAGAGCGATGCTTTCCACAGCTGATCTGCAGCAGCATGCGCTGCTCGTACAGTGCTTCGAGGAAAAGGTACAAAAGAAGTGACGTGCACAGGGAAGGTGCGGGGGTGCATATTATATTTGTATATGTAAATGGGCTCTTCTTTGTAGTTAAACTTTAACTCAGACGTGTTTCATTTAATTAAAATACGCATCAACACATGAGTCTGAAATAAAGATAGCTGCCAAAAATTAAGAGCCCAAAGCAGCTTTGAAAGCATCTGGTGGGGAAAAAGCAAAAAGTGGCGTTCATATGTATCATTTTAACCATGCCAATTAACACCTGTCTACACTCCATGGTACAGTTCTGTGGAATACTGGTGTGCAATCCCATATGATGCAGATCACGAGGGAAAACAAAACAGCAGGGGACGGACAACCAGGCACACAGACAAATCTACTGTGATATGGAGCATAAAACCCTAAATGTAATAGGGACAACTTAATTTCTAGCACTTGCTGCCAAACCCCCTAAACCCCAATATGTGAGGATTACTCCAAATTACCATTACAGACTAGCTTCCTTGTTTTAAGACTTCTTGGCTTTGTAACTGAAACAATCTACTAACATGTTCAGATTGTTTATGAGGTGAACTTTAACCTAAAAACCCCATTTCTGGCTAGTATACAGAAGTCCTTTATGAAACCAATTTGGCTGACCCACCTTCAGTAGAGACAAGGTAAGGCAATAAGCAGGGCTGCCTACTTGAGGAAATGAAACTGGCCACATCACACCTATGACAAACGTTTCATTTGCGGAGAACCATCTGAAGTGCTGTGGTGGCCAAGCCGCCGGCTGCAAATTCGCCTTGCCTGGGAGAAAAACCTGACAAGCTGCCATTGCATGGAAGCTCCCACACACCTACTTCATGATGCTTTCTGATCATGACTGAGCTGTTACACCTAACCTGGAACTGGGCAGCCAGCCCCCAGAGGAAGCGTTTTCAGGTCAACAGATGTTAAACCTCTTGCTTTTAATGGTTAGCAGCAAAACCAGATGCCCTGCTGTGGGAAAGGGAGTGACAACAGAAATGATGGAAGAGAATTTGGCCACAAGGTTGACTGCATGTCTTCTCTTTTTCACTGCAGTAGTAGTTTATGGCAGGGATTTTAAGAGCTGGGCATTTTTCTCTCATTTATTCTCTTAACTACATTACTACTATAATCTAATTACTATTAAATTGTAAACTATTTAGATTTCCCTCCACTGACATGGGATTCCACAGTAACCTGGATAAGAGGACTGCAACTAGGGATGCACTTCTCCAGTGGGCTATCTTACAGGGACTGAAGCCTCTTGGAAGACTATGATTCAAAAGAGATGCAAGATGATTTACTCAGATCCAATTGACTAAGAAAAGCCGAGTACAAATAGTGTGGATAACCAACCACAGTTCTTAAGGGCTGATGGAAAACTCTCCAAAAATTCAAGGCAGCCATGAGAGAGTTGCAGACCTCTGACCCACACACAGGATGGGAAACTGTTGTACAGGCCCATGTGGAAAAGAATCAAACCAACAAGCTCTACACTTAGACCGGAATTTAAACACACAGGTAATCCCAGTAATTCAGAAATGTATGATGAGCTCTTCCAGCTGTTTCCACTGCAAACAACACATTAACCAGAATTTAGCTTAAAAAAACATAGTAAAAATGTAAATACTGTACGGGATTGTGCTAAAGCACAATAAAAACACAGACAAGCAAAAAGGAAACATTTAGCCACTTTGGTTTCTCAAATATAGTGTGCAATTGAAGAAGAAGTTCTGTCCTTCGCAAGGTATTCCTTTGCAAACAGGATCCCTTTAAAGAATTGATGCTTACAAAGAATGGCAACATAGATGTGTTTATAGATGTGTTTTAAAGTTAATCCAAAAGAATAAAGGCCTTAAGCAATGAGATAATTACCTCTTCTTAACTGTGGAAGTTATCCATGTCAAAGAACAAAGGTGTCGGAAAATCAGAAGAAAAAAAAAAGTCAAGCTATCAACTACTTTTCCCACCTTGAAGCCAGTTTAGCTGCTTGGTGCCATACACTAAGAGCCTCCCTTCACTCTCATGAGCTCTGAGGTCAACTAATGCTTTGGGATTATGAGGTTTCTCAGCATGTCAAACGAGTTGCCATCAGGGTGCACAGACTCCACACCCTTGCCTTCTTCATGAACTTGAAGGAATCCATAATCATCTATCCCGACTATCCATGCCATTGGGCCCTCTTCATTGTAGAGACGGACTTGCTTACCACTGCAAACAAGAGAACCAGACCGTTAGGAATTAATTGATGGAGACTGCACAAACAACTAAGAAGTGGCTTAGAGGACTAGTGTCTAGCAGAGTAATTTTATTTCTCACCTCACTGGTTCCTGATAGAGCATGATTTTCAGCAGCATTTTCTACCTGCTTTAATTCATTTATGTGGAATTAACAGTTCATCCAAACAGTCTATGGAGGTTTGGGGTTTTTTTTTTGTAAAAGACAGGAGTACAGCAGCTTCATTACTAGCTAAACAAAACATTCCCAATTCCCTTTGTTTTGAGGTGATACGTGTAAAATACCTAGAAGCATTCTTTAACTGCTGCTGCTAGTCCATTGATTTTGCTATGTGATATTTTCATTCTCCTTTAAAATAATTAAAATAATACATCCTACTTGGGAGTGTAGGATGTATTTAACTTGTTTTAAAGGCGATCTAGTAGAAAATATAGAAAAAGACAAATTATCTATGAGTTCTTTTCAATTTTCTTAACAGAAAGTTCGAGAAGAATATTATACTTACCTGTGTGCCCAGTACTTGTAGTAACGGGGAAGAACTCCGTTGGGCCCTTTCTCCTGGAAAATATCTATAAGCCTCTCTAGCACAGTTACAGTTCTTGCAATAAGACAGTCTGGAGTTAAAGCCTTCAGCTTTGTCCCCTCTTCCTTGTTAAATTTTGTGATGAGGTCATTGATGCATATGGTGGGGTTGCTGTTATTCACATTAAATCCAAAGCCTGAAGAAGACAAACCAAAAGAAGAGGACAGGATCTATAAATACCAACATGTTGTTACCACCAGGAAGTTAGTACTTAATTCAATCACTTGACACAATTACCTCCAAGGAATTTTTTAGTAACTGTTTTTCTTCAGCCCCTCACACCTTTAAAACTTCCTACTTGCATAATTACAAATCTCAGTCCAGCTTTTCTTGGTTTCTTGCCCTTAAAACTCCTCCTCAAAATTGTAGAAGCAAATCCATTGCAGTCCCTTCAACCTCACACCATCCTATCAGTGAGGGTTAGGAAGATGGTAAGTGATGACTTGCACATTGGTTACAATAACATCAAAGTGAGAAATTCCTTTACTCCCTGGAAGCTGACAGCTAATTGAGAGTGAATCATAGATCATACATTAAGATGGATCCATTAAGATGAAGATTAAGATCTTCCAGCCTAAAATTTAAGAAACCTTTCTGTTTATTACAGTTAGCTGACTGTATATTCTGAAAATTAACCCTTTTTACACAGCTGATAAGCCTTATTTGGCTTGCTCTGAAAAGCCCAGAAGATTTAACTTTGCTGTGTAAGACTCCAGTTTTCTTAATCTATCTTACCACAGCATATCGTTTAGAAGCCTCAGGTCTCACTGAGATTTCTCCAGCTAGAATAACCTTGGCAGATCGCCTTTCTTATTTAAATGTGGCTCTTGGGGTCTTTTTTGCAGCCTGCTGAAACAGGCTTGGAAGGATGTAGAGAAATAAATTGTATTAGCTGTTTATTTTTTTCTCCTAATAATTTGGATTTTTCTTTCCTCAGACATTTGGGATAAAACCTCAGCCTGTCAATCAGGTTTAGACAAGATATACCTCCATCTGCAAGAAGGTCCAGAAGCACTGTTTTATTAATTTGCTATTAAGGAGACTGTTTATGTATGGAATTAATTTGTATTAATTAAAATAAAATGTGCCACACCAACAGATGCCAACTCAGCTGTTTACACTCAAATACAGTATAAGTGAAGAGAGAGTGATTGTGACCATTAAGCAGTGATAGGTACTTCCAGGGTGCATAACAGGGTCTTGGAGTCCATCTGCAGGCTCAGGGCACTCAGGCATGTATGTAGGGAGATCACTGCTTAGGAATCCAAAAACTGAAAAGGACATGAGAGACATACTGAGATGAGGAGCTCAGCTGAGGCAGAGGCATTTGGCGATACACACATCACTGACATGATGGAATAGATCCTTGGATCCTACGTGGGAAGTAACTTTCAATCTTAGAAACTTCCAGACAAAAGAAAGTTGATGAAAATGTACAGCTCTGTACATACCGCCAAGATGACTCCTAGGGGACATCAGAGAGAATGCATACAAAAAGTTTCCATTTGAATTTGAACATTTTGGTTTAGGATAAGAAACACAAGGACCAAAACTAATATGCAATGTGCAAAGAGATATTTGGTAAGATGAATTGTTTTTGGAACCATTTGGATTTTCTTGTGTTAAGCAGAACAGGCTCTGTAAAATCATAAGGAAGCAGTAAATTCTGGAGAAGATTCACTGCTCACCAG